GATAGCATACTGCTGAACTTTTCGTGATGTTAATGATACTGTTGACTGATCAATGATTCTCTACTTCTTTTATCTAGATGTATAAAATGGTTAAAGTCTCCACAGTTTACACCCTTGCAGGAAAGATATCATACTGTTGAAATTTTAGGAAAGGTTAATGATACTGTTGAGTGATAGATGATTCTCTACTTCTTTTATCTAGATGTATAAAATGGTTAAGGTGATTTTGTTATATTGAAAAGATACCATGTGGATGGTTCTCCGACCAATGTCTGTCTAAATTGACGGGGATATTAAATTTTGTACATACTGTTGTTGTTCTTATTACTGCTGTTGTACCTAGGTCCAGAAACCTTAAAATATCCCTAAGGATACAATCACACAAAAGTAAAATTATATTGGATAATCCCTTGCTCATATTTGCATTGATAAAACATTAAATCGACATACACACACACACACACACACTAGAGGTAATAAACACCTGTACATCATTTATCAATAAACCAAATAATTTGTCCCAAAATGCCTAAAAGTGACGTCATAAAAATAGCCTCACATCAGGACGCTACCTTTTCCACATAGGATTAACATTAGACAAGTTGGCCCAGAACCCCTCATTTCTCTATTTCGTCCAAATAATAACTTAAGCAATAATTTAAAATAAAAGAAAACCACATCTATCAGCTTCTATTCAATATCGAACATACAAATCTGCGTATTGAAACAAAGGGGAAAATAAATCTTTGGGTTGATAAAAAAAACTTATACCTGTATTTAAAAAAATAGCTGTTTTTAATTAAGGGCTCATGAATTTGTTTTCTAATGAAAATGATCATGTCCTTTAAATGACCCCGTCCCCCCGTCGAAAACAGACCAAAAGATAAACTTATAAAAACTGGTTTACCAATTTGGAGTACTTTTGAGAGTTGTAATAAAAGCAGGCCACATTAGCGTAACAATAGACAAAAAAAAAAATAGAATGAAATGTTCAGGTATTTTCAGCAATGCAAGATTTCTGTATTTCAATCAAATTGTTTCTTGGTGAGTCCACTCAACTCGAAGAACATTTTCTGGTTAGTAAAATTTAAGATTTGGACAAATAAATCGGTATATAATCATGTTTCCTTAACAGCTGTTTCTTCGTTGAATATTTATAATAAAATTCACGTTCTGAATATCCAGTTGTATGTAAACTTAACTCACACTAGGCCTACATTGACTATCGACTACATGTAATCAAAACCTGATTTAAACAATATGTGTACATTGATTTTTACAAATGTGAACGAAGTTGAGTTTAGTTAACGCGATAACATCAACGAAACACCAAATTTAGTTCAATTTGAACACGGCCTTACTGTTAATAGTATACGTTGTCATATGTCAGAAGCAAATTCCGTAACAAAAATAGTTTACACCACCGCCGCCGCCGCCCCCGTGAACTAATGAAATAAATGTTCAGTAATTATTTCTCAATCCTATACTATTTTTTATAGATAAACGACGTTTAAGACAATGGATGATGATGATGGATGGCTGCTTAACGTCCAGCGGCAAATTTGTATGCATATTTAGGACAAGAACTTGTTAATGTAATATGATTATTAACCCTGCTTTGTACTAGACTGACACGCTGAGCCGGATTTTTAACGTGCTAGTTCACAAGGTAACAGTCCGCAGGAAGACATGTCACCTTACTCAGACACATTATTCTGACTCCAAGCCGGCCAGTCTTTGCTCTTACTCCTTAATTCCGCGTGCTAAGCGGAGAAGCAGCAAATACCAATTTTAAAGTCTTTGGTTTGACCCAGCCGGTTTTCGAACCCACGACCTCCCACACTCGTGGCGAACACGCTACCTCGAGACCACCGTGGCGGTTCAAAATAATGGATATCCGACCAAGTCTGTATTCATTTTAGTGTACAAACATTCAGTTTACCAAGAATCCTGTAATTTTATTGTTTACCATGCGGTATGGATTATGCTCATTGTTGAAAGCCGTATGGTAACCTATAGTTGTTAACTTCTACGCCGTTTGGTCCCTGGTGAAGAGTTGTATCATTGGCAATCATACCACTTTTTTCATATTTTACTACAATCCCATGTCTTAACCATTTCACTTATATCAATTGATTGAACACAAAGGATTGTCGACGAATAATAAGATGTGTTTTTGCCAACAACAATTCTGATTTCTTTGATTTACATACCTTGGATCTAATGAAAGTCAACAAAGTTTGTAGAGTAATATGTTCGTCTCAAAAATGTTTCTGGTTACCCAGCAGACAACAGAACATATTTAAGAGTTTTCGGTATAAACTTTTAGAAGAAAAAAAAAGATAAATGTAAAGATGTAATCCAACGAAATCAATAACAACAATTTTTAAGAGCATACAAGCAGTAGGCAAATATATACTCAACAACAAGAGAAACTGATTATTTTCTTTGGATTAAACAAATCTATGTTATATAACTTTTTAAAAAAAGAGATTAATATGAGTGAAAATTTTGCAAAGTGCGAATACACTTCTCCACTTCTAAATAATGCAAATGTTAGTTTGTTGTTTTTAAGTTTTACGGAATATCTATGCCTTTTGAAATTGTAACAATCCTTTATGTTCGTCACCTAAAATGTTTAAACCTTTCGATTTAAGAAATTCCGCTCTATTCTGCACTCCCCATCCTACGCCATTTGCAGCTGCCGGTTCATGTGACATGCTACAAGGGAGACAAATAAATGTACTAAACATATACAGCATTGCAGCAGTTTGGTTGCCTTGATTCATTTTATGATCCGAATGGACGCATGGATCAATTGCAGATACAATTCCGTCATCCTCCAGAACCCGTTTGATTTCTGAAATGCTAAGACTTGGATTTGGAAGGTCATGCAGTACATCAACCATAGTTATCCAATCGAATTTCTTCGTCCAAGATTCGTCTAAGTGGTCATTTTCAAGTACAACGAATTCGACATTGGGTATATTTTCCTTCGCCTTATTCTCCTTAGCTTTTTCAATAGCATTTCGGTCGATATCTACACCGTATACTTTGGCATTTGGTAAATGTTCAGCTAATTTTATAGTTAAACTTCCTAGTCCACATCCAAAATCCATAACATTTCTTATTGTATCTGTGTAAAAAAAAAGAGCAACAATCATGAATTAACCATTTTCGTGGAAAAATATTTCAATTTAATGAAACAGAACTGACATCTACATCACACATTTTTTTAATGACAACGTTTATCGTAGGAAACATATTTATAAATGTTACTATGATCCCGTGTGACCATTGAATTGTTGTTACATACATACACTCAGTAAGTAAGTACTTGAAGGTCCAAATTAGGCCTGAAAACCCATATTTTACGTTTAAGTTATGACTTAGTGTTATTCGACAGATGCTTTTCGGAGAGTCTAGTCTAATTCTTGTGTTTTGAAATATATGTTGTGTTTGCTTTTAACCTCGTACCGACAAAGCAAGTAGGTTTAAAACAAATAATAAAACGACTTAGGCCTTATCATTTGATACCTGTTTCCTTGTGTCCAACAGGGAATAAGTTTTCATTAATCCATTTACTATCACATGATTTATTGTCATGGTCCAACCACATCAAGATACCCAACTGGTTACTGTAATCATATCCTGAAATAATTTCATCAATTGTGTTTTAGGACATTAAATAAAATGGGCGGTTATGAAAAGCTAACTAAGTATTACTTTCATAGGTAGCGAAAAAAAGGATACGTTCACCAGCGATCAAAACAGACCAGTAAGCTAACGGCTAAAACGGAGCAATAAACTAGCGCTATTAAATACAACCAGTATGCTTACAATCAGGTGTAAGACACCAATCTAACGATCACAGAGCTAACCACTAAAACAGATCAGTAAGCAAGCATTCAGTTAGCTAGTGACCAATAAGGGGTCAGTAAGATATCGATCAGTAAGCTAATGGTCAATACGGATCAGTACGCTAGCAATCAGTTAGCAAGTGACCCATAAGAATTAGTTAGAAAGAAGAAGTAAGCTAGTGCCAGTAAGGATCAGTTAGCTAGCAATCAGTAAGCTAATAGTCAATACGGATCAGTTAGCTAACAATCAGTAAGATAATGGCCATCAAGGATCTGTAAGCTAGTAACCAATACGGATCAGTTAGCTAACGGTCAGTAAGCTAGTGACCAATAAGGATCAGTTAGCTAACAATCAGTAAGATAATGACCATTAAGGAACGGTAAGCTTGTAGTCAGTACGCTTGTGACAAATAACGGTCAGTAAGCTAACAATAAGGCAGAAAGTGACTAATAAGGATCAGTAAGTTAACGACTATTAAGGATCAGTAAGCTTATGGTCTGTTAAGGATCAGTAAGTTCACGACTATTACGGATTAGTAAGCTTACGGTCTGTTAAGGATCAGTAAGCTAACTACTATTAGGGATCAGTAAGCTAACGATTATTAAGGATCAGTAAGCTCACGGTCTGTCTGTTAAGGATCAGTAAGCTAACGATTATTAAGGATCAGTAAGATAACGACTATTAATAAACTTACAGTCTGTAAGTTTACCGACAATAAAGGATCAAGATCACTAAACGTACGATCAGTAAGTGATCGACCAATAAGGAAAAGTAAGCTATCGATCCGTACACTACACTGAGCTACCATTCAGGATCAGTAAATTGAATTGTGATTGATAAGGCGGTACGTATTATAACTATAGATATACACAATTTTTTAAACGCTCTGTTAAAAATATTTATGGTGTTTAAGATGCTATATGTATAGGCAGTAAATAAATATTATTTCAATATATTCTTTTCTTTATTTCATTAAGGAAATTGTTCCATTGAGTTTTATATCAGTAGACATAGCGTAAGATTAAGAGCGTATACAAGTATCAAGTAGAGAAAATAAAACAAACCATGTTTGGTAGGCGTCAATGAGAGAGAAGTCCAACAGGACCAAAGTAATAAGTGAAAAGTGGGATATAGTTTACCTTTTGGTCCGTCCTCTTTGAAACATTCTAATACTGAGGAGGTATTCGCAGCTATATGCGGAAAAACACTGGCGAGTTTACTCGATTCTGTATGAGGTTTGCATGCTTCCGGTATGAAGTATTTATCATCGGGTGTTATACTAACGAAACCAGCTGCTGACATACATCCTAACCATTCTCTGACATATCTAAGGGAAAAAAGAGAAACCAAATCCGTTCAATAGAATATCTTTTTCTGGTGCTTCTGTTCCAAAAGTGCCACCTACTGTGTAAACATATATCCCAATATATATGTAAGCAAAATGTAACGCCCTTTACACATTATAGAGGGCCCTCGATGGCTAAGTGGTCTAATTTGTTTATTTAGCTTGTCCAAATTGAAATTTTGTGTTTGAACAACGCACGCGGCAAGTCCGTTCGACTTCAATCTTTATTGACTAAAATTGCCAGTTTTCTTGCCAAAGGTCAGTGGTTCTCTCCGGACACTCATCAATAAAAAATCGCCTCCACGAAAAAGCAAAACGTGATGAAAGTGGCTTTAATCACCAAACAATCAATCAATCAATCAAATCTTTTCTGAAATATGAAATAGTGTAAATGAATGAAGTAAGTTATCTTTGCTATGAACATATATGAAGTCATTTACTATTTTATTGAATAATGTAGCAGTTAAATTCGCATATAACCTCTTTAATTCATAAGTCAAATCTATAGCTTTATATAATTCAGACACAACTTGTTTGAAGACCTAAATATAACATATTTAGAGCCAAAAAGAGAGTAAATAATTCAGGAAAATCATTGGACCCATTTTATTTCATTGATAAACCACCTTTAGAAAAGTCACACCTACAGTTGTGTAATTATACATTGGGTAATAGAAAAACATCATCAAACTTAGGTGCAAAAGCTGATTAGATAGAGTGCATGCCGCTGGAACTAAATATTAAATTTCAATCTATATTGTATCTAATTAGATTATATTTTGATGACATTACTCCTCTTGTGAAAGAATCCTTTGGTCTGTCTCAAAACCTTGACTCTTTGAGAATTTATTCTTTGTTTTCATATTCAAAACATATGTTTGAAGAAACAGGTATAGTTTAGGACACATTGAAGAAATATTCCTCAAATAACAAAACTAAAACTATAAGAGAACAAATAAAATTAAAATTGAAGCATTTTTATGAAAAGCTAGTAAATGATAAAATATCAGACATAAAGGACAACATCAAATTCACCATTTATGTTAAACTAAATAATACAGAAGAAAACTACTTAACCTCATACAAAATTGAATTAAGAAAAATGATAACATAATTTAGAATAAGTGATCAATTTATTAATAGAAAAAGGAAGATATCTTAAAACGGCAAGAGAAGAAAAATTACACATACAACTGCATAAAAGTTGAAGATGATATGCATTTGTTTTCATATTTAGATATTAACAGTAATATTAGAAAAGTTTTTTTTTTATGAATGAAAATACATGTACGCAATTTACATTTAAATGATATTGATAAAATTACATTTAATGTTTGCAAAATTATAAATTATTCTAAATAATAAAGATGTTCTTGTTCCAGGCAGAAAACCCTGGCCGTGTTAGGCGCAACTTTTTGGAAGTTTTGGTCCTCGGTGCTCTTCAGCTTTGTACTTGTTTTGGCTTTCAAACTTTTTTCATCTAAGCGTCACTGGTTGGTCTTGTGTGGACGAGACGCACGTCTGGAGTATTGAATTTTAAGCCTAGTACCTTTTGTTAGCTATTATTCGTGTGTTTCTTTGTCCTATATGTTCTCCAATTTATTTGTATTGTGGTCCTGTCATGTGATGTTGTCGTTTTGGTGTTGTGTTTGACGTTGCCATAAATGCGGGAGGTTTGACATGCCACAAAACCAGGTTCAACCCACCATTTTTTTCTTAAAATGTCCTTTACCAAGTCAGGAAAATGGCCATTGTTACATTATAGTTCGTTTCTGTCGGTGTATGTTACATTTTAATGTTGTGTTTTTGTTGTGTTGTTGTTCTCCTCTTATATTTGATGCGTTTCGCTCAGTTTTAGTTTGTAACCCGGATTTGTTTTTATCTCTATCGATTTATGAGTTTCGAACAGCAGTATACTACTGTTGCCTTTATACTTAACCAATGGTCACACATTCAGGGAAATACGCTTTGGTCCTTTTTAAAAACAGTCTATAGAACTGAGAACAGGGGACTCTTGAAAAATTTACTTTCATTATGCATGTATGTAAATGATCTTGTTGATATTGTTTGTTTTCGTTTTGTTATGTTGTGTCGCATGCTATAATTGTATGCTGTAACTGCAATAAATATTTGAATTGAATTTATATAACGTATATAACAATTGCTGATTTTACCCTAAATATTTGCCATGCACTGAAAGTTTAATAAACACCAATTATTATAAAAGAACAGATTTCTAATGTCCACCGCGTTACACATATTTTATCTATCCATGGGCAATAACTAAATAAAACACTTTTTTTGTTCTACAATACAATTTGAAAAATATATAAAAATAAAGGCGTCAGAGCAAATGCAATGCAAATGACGTTATAATTAATTTATCCGAGGGGCATAACTCGTTAAAAATATGATCAGCACTAATTGTCGAAAGTGTTAAAGACATTGCTGATATAAACCTATAATATAAGTTTCATAAGATTCAGGCAAGAATTGTACACATGAGAGCGCTAACAACGCAATTTTCCATATAATCATTATATCCAAGGGACATAGCTTTTAAAAACAATTGATCGGCACTTATTTTTAAATTTGTCTGAGACATTGATGATATAAACTTGTAATAAGAATTTCATATAAATCTGGCAAGAATTGTACATATGAGAGTGCTAACAATGCAATTTTCCATATAATCAATATTTCAAAGGGCATTCTTCTTTTGAAAATAATTGATCGGCACTGATTTTCCAACTCGTCAAAAGCATTGATGATATGAACCTACATTGTATAATATAGATTTCATAAAAATCTAACAAGAATTGTATACATTAGAGAGCTCATCAGGCAATTTTCCATTTAATTAATATTTCTAAGGGGCATAACTCTTTTAAAAAAATTGGTCAGTTAGCACTAATTTTCGAACAAATCAAAGACATTGCTGATATAAACCTATGATGTAAGTTTTTTAAAATGCTGTAAAGAATTGTACTCATTAGAGCGCTAATATTGCAATTTCTATCTAATCGATATTTCCAAGTGGCATATCTCTTTTAAAAAAAATGATCGACTCTGATATCGAACTCGTCCAAGATATTGCCGATATAAACCTATGATATAAGTTTCATAAAAATTTGTTTAGAATTGTACACAAGAGAGCGCTAACGATGCATTTGTCCATATAATTAATATAATATCCAAGGGGCATATCTATTTTAAAATTAATTGAACGGCACTGATTTTCGAACTCGTCTAAGACATATAAAAACAAACATACTCACGAAACATGTTTAACCCTGCCGTATTTTTGCGCCTGTCCCAAGTTAGGAGCCTCTAAATTTTAGTTCATTTATATGTTTCGGAGTTTAGTGTGACGTCCATTTACATTGAACTTGAACTAGTACATATTTTGTTTAGAGGCCTGCTGAAGCCCGGCTCCAGGTGCGGGATTTTCTCGCTTTGTTGAAGACCCATTGGTGGCCTTGTGAGGACACATTCCCCATTTCCATTCTCAACTTTATATGACATAAGTTATCAAAATCTGGCAGGAAGTGTACACATGAGAGCGCTAACAAGACATGATGGACGGACGGATGGACGCCTAGACTCCTGGTATTTCTATGTCCCCCGCAACGCGTTCGCGGGGTACAAAAAAGATATTCAGTGGTTCATGTTTCATATTTTTTTCCCGTCTGTAAATAATATATAACGGGACTACTCGGTATTTAACTACCAATTCTTGACAAGCCTATATTTTAACATTCTAAGCTAGACTAAGTATACATTTGGTATTAGTATTAAAACCACGAGTAGGTTATACCATTATGTAAGTAATCAACTTCATACATGTATCTCTGATTAAGAAAATGTGTGTTTTGTTTAATGATAAGTTCTCTTGTATAATAAACGCGTATGCAAAAATTCTTGACCTTGCCCTTTAGATTACTTCTGTCTCGTGGTCTTATACCCAACATGTCCTTTTATGACACTTAACATGTCCTTGTGTGTTACGTAATCGCTTGTATCATAAATCAAACTGAAAAATGAATCCTGATAAATCTTTAGTAATCACATAATTATGTTAAGTATGTGTTATCATAATTATCCTTCAAAATGTATGCACATATGTTTGAATGAAATAAAAACATTTTGTATATTACGAGCGCCCAAAGTGATTTCTCACATTTACCTTCATTAGGAACGCTGAAACATAAACATTCGAATACCAGGGATGTTCAAACACGTAGAAACGTAAACGTAGAAACGCGAGGATATACATGTACGTGATCAAAAGGGACATACAAAGAATAGCTATGTCAACTTTGCCCGAAATTTAATGGGTCTGTTTTTAAGTTCGTGAGACGACATTCCACATCCTCCTTTACCCGAGATGTATTTGATATGTTTTTTAGTTCGTGAGACCACATTCCACATTCCACTTCCCCCACCCCCACCTTTCTGATAAATTTGTAAGTGTTATGAGTACATTAAAATCTAAGATATATCATGTATTTTCCTACCTTTCTTTCAATTTGCATGATATAGCGAGCTCTGTTGTTGTAACTGGGGAAGTAAATTCATTCAGCGAACAAAAGAGTCCTAGTTTATAACCTATTGCTATTTCTAAAGCAATAAAACCATTCGTCACAGTTGAAGAAAATCTATCTGCATATTCCTCAGGTTCCAATATGGGACTTCTACGTAAAAAACAATAGAGTATTAAGAAAAAAACAGAATTTCAATTAGAACGAATAATAATAGTGTAACAATTTTGAGATATTTAATTTTAACGGACACCATTATGAGTTGGTTGATCGCGGATATGTTCCAACAGTCGTAACCACTATCCTGTCCACTTTTTCTCAATTGTGACATCACCGAGCGAGACTTGTTTCCGTTTAATTTGTACTTACCGAAGAAAGACAAACGACGACGAGTGCCACATATGGTGTAGGATAGATGGTATGCTTTCCAATTCCGTTTTTTGGGGGTTGGGGGGTCGCATTGCTCAGTCTTTAGTTTTCTTAGTATATGTAGATTTTTTTTTATATCTTCTCGTTAAGTGCAATGGTTTTGACTGTCCTTCGACATTTGCATTTTGATAATACCTTGGTTATCCTCGATCTACTTTTTTCCCCAAAAGAATATCTTTACGTATCTTATTAGTTTTTTGTCCCTGTCTTTACTTTAAGTTAGATAATGCACATATGTTTTGGTCACTTCCAAATATTTTAGTTTGATTTATGATGTAAGGTCGAATATACTTTGCCGCATGTTCTTAATAATTTATTTAGCTTGTTATCTAATGAATATGTTGGGGTTTTTTTTTCAGTACATGATAGATTAATTTGTTTTTGTTATTTCCTTTATTTAATTTAGATTATCGAAAATCGGAAATTTACGCTTTGGAACATTTTTACTTTTCACCGGTAAACATTTAAGCACGACATTTTCCCCACGCGAATATTTGTGTGTTCAATTAAATACAATGTACAAGGCTATTAAACGCAAAAAATTGAACAGAGATAATATTTTAGTGTTCTATAGCGAACAAAGGCCGACGTGGAAATAACCTGATATATGTTATATTCTTTTGGTTATTGTTATTCAGTTATTGTAGGGACATTAGATGTCAGATTCATGTTCACCGATATGACTCATATTCTTATATTTGATTTATAACATGGTAAATGTTTGCCCAAATAATAAAAAGTCTAAAATAAACAAATGTACGATGCACGGATTCGACAATATGTATCAGCATTTCGTGTGTTTTTAAGTCTAGACGCCATTTAATTACCAATCGAGGTGACCTCCGAAGACTACCGACGGTCATATAAACCGATATAAACATAAACATAGATAGAAATAGAAAGAAAACTCGTGCAATTCGAGTTTTTAGGTCTGATTGATTTCATATTATAGGGTTAAAAATTTGTTAATAATCATTTTTACCTATATAAGAATGAGTTTTTGTAGATCGAATCAGTCAATCAAATGGTTAACCCTTGTTTCATTACCATTTTTTTTTTGTTAAAAGCTGAACACGGCTAGTTCATGCGTTACCCATCTCTAGCTAAGGGGTTCAATTGAAGTTCACATGAATACGGATTTAAACCGGTCGAATTATTTTCTTGCAAATGAATAATTTATTAGTGAGGTTTCTTTGCCTATTTTGACAAAATTGAAACAAACTGGCTGCTAAAAGCAAATAATCATATCACTTTTTCACTTTCTTTAATGATTGAACGAAAAAAAAATATCCTATATTATTAATTTCTATACCTCGTAGCCATTGCCCCTTTTTAACAGGACAGTTATATTGTATATGTTAGCGGCAATAAGTGAAGCTTAAATCCTAGGCAATAAGCTAACGCCTAGGCTAGAAGTCTATTGCCTAAATGGTGTCTGGAATTATTCTTAAGTCCTAGGATTTTAGCTTAAATCCGGAAAAATGTGTCCAGGTATTAATGTTAAGGCCAAAATGTAAATGCAAGTAATAAAAAGACGTTTATTGAAACTTATAAATACATTTGGTATATCATAACATGATAAGAACTGAGGTTTAAAATGTCAACTACTCAAAATAAGTTCTTTAGTTCCGGCCACTTTAGTTTTAAATCGGATATAACCAAAGCTCTAAATTTACGACCATTGTCACTTTGCAGTTTATGGGGCGCACCAAACATTTTTAAAACATAAATTAAATCGAAAGTCACCTCTAAGGCACATTTTGACTCTAGAGCTCTACTGTTACAAATGTTTGTTAGGTGATTTTATCAAATATATAGTTTCCATCTAGGTTTGATTGGAAATCAATTAAATCAACCTGTCCTCTACTGTTCAACTCTTTGGATAATATGGGTTTCAATACTACTCCCTTCCCTAAATACAATTTTCACTTGACCAGTGAAGTGGCAATTTTCTTCAAAAATATTTCAGATAAAATCATCAATCCCCCTCCTTTCATTACATACAATCACTTGTTTGAAACATATCAATTTTTGTAATTCCACAAAGAAATACTTTTACGTTTAATTCTGTGTAGAATAAGAAAAAAAACCAAACTTTTAAGAGCTGTTAGATTAATGTATATTAATATTTGGAATATAATATACAATATACTTTACTTTTACAAATTGTGACTTGGATGGAGAGTTGTCTCATTGGCACTCATACCACATCTTCTTATATCTATTAACATCCGGAATATTTCACCGAATGTTCATTTATATGTTTTCAAAATGTTTAACAGTAATGTTTTACGTCTAGGTTAGTAATGTTTTTCGGCAAGCCCCTCGCTCTAAATTTCATAGTATATACCTTTTCATAGACTATCCACTTTAGCACATATTTACAACTCGAGTAATCTTTTAATTGGTCTATTGATAATTTATTTTAGCTGACTACTTGTATCACAGGTGTTTGTAAAACGGAGCTCATTAACGAAATTGTTTCAATCTACTCACTAGTATCATTGTAAAATGTGTGATTTTAAAAGGCCCTTGACTCCTGAATGAAAAGATGGTAGCTGCTGGTGTAAGCATGTTCATTGATATAAAGCGGTGTTTTACCATCATGTACTTCTTAACATGATAAGATGACAAAACAAATTGACCAAAAGCAGGCAATAATTAAATTGCAGTGGAAGCTTTACATGTCTTGGAAACATTTTTTAATTTCACAGTAAAACTAAAGCTATAACAAATTTGAAACATAAAGATAGTATGCAGTGGCGGATCCAGGGGTTGGGGGTTGGAAAACCCCCATTTTTGGCCGATAAATGCTTTTAAATTTGACATTTGCTTGGAACCCCTCCCCCCTTTTTTTGGGTTGGAAATCCTTTTAAAAATAGCTTGATCCGCCCCTGGTTTGTCCCCATAGATAGTCTAGCGGATAGTCATTAAAAGGCAACTATTAATAGATCAAAGATACTAGGGTTTATGTTTTTTTTTATTTCAAAGTAAAAACTATTTATCAGAACATGTATATATATATATATATATATATAGGTGGCACATTCTCTTCATACATTATCACGGTTTTTCAATTCATGACATCGTTCTGAACATGCATGAAATATTTGCCTCGGGACATAGAGTAACCATGCAATAATCAATCAATGAATCAATTCATGACGAAATAGATCAAGTTGCGTTTATTTCCCTTTACAAGGTTTCAAAGTACACACTTTTTTGTGTACAAAGTAATTGCATGGATGATAAAGTATCACAATTTTAAGATGGCCTTGTATAAAGAACCATATTTGTTACTCTTTATTTAAATGAAAGAAACTTACAATCGTCATAAACATTTTTTAGATCCAAAGATTTTAATAGCAGGATATTTAAAAATGAATGTGAAAACTAATTACAAACTATTTAATTTAATTTGGAACACAGCATTTTATTTCAAAATAGCCAGTGGCAATTTTTGTTTTAATATCTTGATTACGATACAATGAAATTTTACCCTTGTGATCATTCATGCGTATTTACTTAGTACACGGGAAAAGTATGTACTATGAAAATTAGAAGGCAAATTCAAGCAATTTGATTGGACGAGAAGTTGTAAGTATGTGCTAAATATCTAATGAAATTAATGGAAAAATGACGCGAGTAAAAATTCATATCTACATTTGTCTATATTTAACCAGACCAAAACCAGCTCGACCAGTGAAGTGCGAATTTTCTTTAAAAATATTTTAGATTGAATAATCTATCCTCCTCCTTTCATTAGATACAATCACTTGTTTGAAACATATCAATGTTGGTAATTCCACAAAGAAATACTTTAAAAGTTGATTCTGTGTAAAATGGAAAAATATTAAATTTTAAGATCTGTTAAAAAAAAGTATATTAATATTTGGAATATATAATACACAATACTTAACTTCAAGAATATTTCACCGAATGTACATTTATTTCGAAGATAAAGCAAACATCCCAAAGTTCTTATTGCCTGAAATGATGTTTGGCAATAGGTTGAATAATCAACATTATATTACAGGAAATAAGCTTAATGCCTGAAAATTTCAGGCAATAACTTACTGCCTAGACGTTAGCTTATTGCCTATGATTTAAGCTTATTGCCTAATTTTATCTACATGTATTGCTGCTAACATATATATTTCATTTATAGCAATAGGTGTGTGAATTTTAGTAGATCGTTTGTTAACACCTATAGTTTACATACATGTATTCTTAAACTTGGACATACATGTATAAGGTATATGTAAATATATGTAACAGAGAACGGATGGGGTTTACAGAATAGAGAATAATTGGCAAATAGTGCAGAATAAATATCGAAAAAGAAGAATAGAGAATAATGGGCAAATAGTGCAGAATAAATACAAAAAACGGTAGATTAGAGGATAAACGGATGCTTTAATGTATAAAAGAATAGGAAAAAAAGATCAAAATAAATAGCGAACCGAGAAAAAGGGTGTACAAATATTAAAGAAAAAAAAAATGAATAAAGACCCCCATCCAGAACCTCATGTAAGATATATAGTATCTGAAATGTCGTTTTTATTCCTTATCTCTGATCTACATAAAATCATTCCAAATGATATATACGTGTAAACAATTCAGTTATATAATCTCGATACATTTACGTTCTGACGAATCTCATGTTATGTAATGTTATTGTAGTACTATAAACAAGTAGATGTGATATGATAACCGCCAATTTTACAACTACACATCATAGATCCAATAAAAAATATGTCAAAAATAGTGTGTGAATAGGAGTCATATGTCGTCGCTAAGTTATACTCCTCTGACATCTCGCTTACTTTTTGTTATTTGAAAGCCAATGCAAGCGGGATAATTGAGATAAGGCTAATAAAACCAAACTCGGAAACGATTTTTTGGCACGTATTCTTTATTCCCAATGGAACGTTTAAAAAGAACGAAATGTACTGCCATTTACATACAAAAACGGAGATACTGTATGACTGCCAATGGGAAAACTATCCAACAAAGACCAAAGGACAAGTCACGGTACGACCTATAATACAGTGAGCAAATCCTCAGAGCAAAACGCATATCGTAAAGTCAGCATAAAAGTTGCCGGGATGACAAGGTGAATACAAAAGAACATTTCATGAACACTTGTATGGTTTTCTTTTTAAATGATGAAAGTATTAAAAACTGATTTACCTAAATACTAACACCTTCATCACTTTTTAAGAAACACAATAAGAATATATTAATAGTTGTATGAGATGTAATACCGTAACAATTAACTGTACGGTCCTGATACATCAGAACTGATATTATATTCATATTAATAATAGTATATACATTGAAATCTGTAGTGTATGCAAAATATGAAAAACCTTGAATCTGAAAAAAATATTTTAAAGAACTTTAAACATCAAGTAAGCAAATATGCACACTATTTACCAGTAACTTAAAACGTTTGTTCTAGATCATAAGAATTGTCACACGACATACTTGTGCTTTTTAACAACCTTGACTGGCTGGTGTATATAGCAATGGGGCACTTTGAGGGAGATGAAACATTGGACAAATAAACGTGTTTCTTTTCATACAAAAAACAAACTGTGTAAGTAAACATTATGACAGTAACAGTTAACAAACATACTTTACATACATGTATTCTTAAACTTGGACATACATGTATACGGTATATGCAAATATATGTAACAGATAAAAGATAGGGTTTACAGAATAGAGAATAATTAGCAAATAGTGCAGAATAAATATCGAAAAAAGAAGCATAGAGAATAAACGGATGCTTTAATATATAAACGAATGGGGAATAATAGTCAAATTAAATAACGAACAGAGAAAAGGATATAAAAATATTAATAAAAAAGAAATAAAGACCCCCGTCCAGAACCTCATGTAAGATATATTATATCTGAAATTTCGTTATCATTCCAAATGATATATACGTGTAAACAGTTCAGTTATATAATCTCGATACATTTACGTTCTAATGAAATTCATGTTATGTAATTTTATTGTAGTACTATAAATGAGTAGATGTGATATACCATAGATCCAACACACGTGTGATCCAACAAAAGATATGTCAAAAATAGTATGTGAATAAAAAAGTTTGTATCCCAAGTCACATATTGTAGCTAAGTCATATTCCTCTGACATCTCGCCCACATTTCATGAATTTTAATGATGAAAGTATTTAAAACTGATTTACCTAAATACTAAAACCTTCATCACTTTTTAGAAAAACAATAAGAAAAGTCATATAAGATGTAATACGGTAACAATTATTTTTACTAATCGTACGGCCCTGATACATCAGAACTGATATTATATTCATATTAATATAATTATATGTAGTGCATGTAAAATATGAAAATCCGTCAATCTGAAAAATATTTCAAAGAAATTAAAACATAAAAAAGAACAAATATGTAGACTATTTACCTGTAACTTGAAACTTTTATTCTAGATGCTAACATCTTCAATAAGAATTGTCAATCGACAAAATGGTGGTTTTTAACTAGACTGGCTGGTATATATAGCACATAAAGCAATGGGGCACTTTGAGGGAGATGAAACAGTTGACAAACAAATGTGTTTCTTTTCATACAGAAAAACAAACCGTGAAAGTAAACATTATGACATTATTAAAGTTAGAAACCTTAGATGAGTGTTGAAAAGCATATATAGAGCAGGAAATATTTCTTTTCGGTTTGTAGTCTATGATTACCCAATGATTATGGAGACCAGCCTGGCTTTGCTTATATTGACAACACCTCAATGTACCTCAATTTTCGTTCCTGATTTGGCCTTTTATTTAGTTCGTGCGTCACCAATGAGTCTTCTGTAGACGAAACGCGCGTCTGGCTTATATAATTATAAGCATGGTATCTTTAATGATTTTTTTTATTGATGTTACATTTTACCCAGAGATGCTGGAATTTCTTGTGTGGCTTCTGATTGGATGATACAGGGTAGGAATTACTAATTACGCCGTCGTGAACTATTGAAATAAGCGTTCAGTAGTTATTGCGCTGTTGTGAACTATTGAAATAACCGTTCAGTAGTTATAACGCCGTCGTGAACTATTAAAATAAGCGTTCAGTAGGTATTTTATAAATCGTATACCTATTGGTAAACGACGTTCAAAACAATTGATGATGATGATGATGATGATGATGATGATGATGATGATGATGATGATGATGATGATGATGATGATGATGATGATGATGATGATGATGATGATGATGATGATGATGATGATGATGATGATGATGATGATGATGATGATGATGATGATGATGATGATGATGATGATGCTTAACGTCTAGCGTTAAAATTATATGCATATTCAGGACGAGAACATGTTAATATAATATGAATATTAACCCTGCTTTGTGCTAGACTGACACGCTGAGCCGGATTTTTAACGTGCTAGTTCTCAAGGTAACAGTCCGCAGGAAGACATGTCACCTTACTCAGACACATTATTCTGACTCCAAGCCGGCCAGTCTTTGCTCTTACTCCTTAATGCCGAGTGCTAAGCGGAGAAGCAGCAAATACCAATTTTAAAGTCTTTGGTTTGACCCGGCCGGGGCTCGAACTCACGACCTCTCACACTCGTGGCGAACACGCTACCTCGAGACCACCGTGGCGGTTCAAAACAATGGATATTCGACCAAGTGCGTAAGTCTGTATTCATTTTAGTGTACAAACATTCAGTTTACCAAGAATCCTGTAATTTTATTGTTTACCATGCGGTATGGATTTTGCTCATTGTTGAAGGCCGTATGGTAACCTATTGTTGTTAAATTTTACGCCGTTTGGTCCCTGGTGAAGAGTTGTATCATTTGCAATCATACCACTTTTTTCATATTTTACTACAATCCCATGACTTAAACATTCCACTTGTATCAATTGTATGAACACAAAGGATTTGTCGACGAATAATAAGATGTGTTTTTGCCAACAACAATTCTGATTTCTTTGATTTACATACCTTGGATCTAATGAAAGTCAACAAAGTTTGTAGAGTAACATGTTCGTCTCAAAAATGTTTCTAGTTACCCAGCAGACAACAGAACATGTTTTTGAGTTTTCGGTATAAACTTTTAGAAGAAAAAAAAGATAAATGTAAAGATGTAATCCAACAAAATCAATAACAACAATTTTTAAGAGCATACAAGCAGTAGGCAAATATATACTCAACAACAGGAGAAACTGATTATTTTCTTTGGATTAAACAAATCTATGTTATATAACTTTTTAAAAAGAGATTAAAATGAGTGAAAATTTTGCAAAGTGCGAATACACTTCTCCACCTCTGAATAATGCAAGTGTTAGTTTGTTGTTTTTAAGTTTTACGGAATATCTATGCCTTTTGAAATTGTAACAATCCATTATTTTCGTCAACTAAAATCTTTAAACCTTTCGATTTAAGAAATTCCGCTCTATTCTGCACTCCCCATCCTACGCCATTTGCAGCTGCCGGTTCATGTGACATGCTACAAGGGAGACAAATAAATGTACTAAACATATACAGCATTGTAGCAGTTTGGTTGCCTTGATTCATTTTATGATCCGAATCTACGCATGGATCAATTGCAGATACAATTCCGTCATCCTCCAGAACCCGTTTGATTTCTGAAATGCATAGATTTGGATTTGGAAGGTCATGCAGTACATCAACCATAGTTATCCAATCGAATTTCTTCGTCCAAGATTCGTCTAAGTGGTCATTTTCAAGTAAAACGAATTCCACATTGGGTATATTTTCCTTCGCCTTATTCTCCTTAGCTTTTTCAATAGCATTTCGGTCGATATCTACACCGTATACTTTGGCATTTGGTAAACGTTCAGCTAATTTCATAGTTAAACTGCCTAGTCCACATCCAAAATCCATAACATTTCTTATTGTATCTGTGTAAGGAAAAAGAGCAACAATCATGAATTAACCATTTTCGTGGAAAACAAATATTTCAATTTAATTAAACAGAACTGACATTTTTTTTAATGACAACGTTTATCGTAGGAAACATATTTATAAATGTTACTATGATCCCGTGTATTGGTTTTGTGACCATTGAATTGTTGTTACATACATACACTCAGTAAGTCAGTACTTGAAGGTCCAAATTAGGCCTGAAAAACCATATTTTACGTTTAAGTTATGACTTGGTGTTATTCAACACATGCTTTTCGGAGAGTCCAGTCTGATTCTTGTGTTTTGAAATATATGTTGTGTTTGCTTTTAACCTCGTACCGACAAAAAGTCAAAGCAAGTAGGTTTAAAACAAAGAATAAAACGACTTTGGCCTTATCATTTGATACCTGTTTCCTTGTGTCCAACAGGGAATAAATTTTCATTAATCCATTTACTATCACATGATTTATTGTCATGGTCCAACCACATCAAGGTACCCAACTGGTTACTGTAATCATATCCTGAAATAATTTCATCAATTGTGTTTTAGGACATTAAATAAAATGGGCGGTTATGAAAAGCTAATTAAATATTTCTTTCATAGGTAGCGAAAAAAAAGGATAAGTTCACCAGCGATCAAAACAGACCAGTAAGCTAACGGCTAAAATGGAGCAATAAACTAGCACTATTGAATACAACCAGTATGCTTACAATCAGGTGTAAGACACCAATCTAACGATCACTAAGCTAACAACTAAAACAGATCAGTAAGCAAGCGATCAGTTAGCTAGTGACCAATAAGGGGTCAGTAAGCTATCGATCAGTAAGCTAAAGGTCAATACGGATCAGTACGCTAGCAATCAGTTAGCAAGTGACCCATAAGAATTAGTTAGAAAAAAGAAGTAAGCTAGTGCCCAGTAAGGATCAATTAGCTAGCAATCAGTAAGCTAATAGTCAATACGGATCAGTTAGCTAACAATCAGTAAGATAATGGCCATCAAGGATCTGTAAGCTAGTAACCAATACGGATCAGTTAGCTAACGGTCAGTAAGCATGTGACCAATAAGGATCAGTTAGCTAACAATCAGTAAGATAATGACCATTAAGGATCGGTAAGCTAGTAGTCAGTACGCTTGCGACAAATAACGGTCAGTAAGCTAACAATAAGGCAGAAAGTGACTAATAAGGATCAGTAAGTTAACGAGTATTAAGGATCAGTAAGCTAATGGTCTGTTAAGGATCAGTAAGTTAACAACTATTAAGAATTAGTAAGCTTACGGTCTGTTAAGGATCAGTAAGCTAACTACTATTAGGGATCAGTAAGCTAACGATTATTAAGGTTCAGTAAGCTCACGGTCTGTCTGTTAAGGGTCAGTAAGCTAACGATTATTAAGGATCAGTAAGATAACGGCTATTAATAAGCTTACAGTCTGTAAGTTTACCGACAATAAAGGATCAAGATCACTAAACGTACGATCAGTAAGTGATCGACCAATAAGGAAAAGTAAGCTAGCGATCCGTACACTACATTGAGCGGCCATTAAGGATCAGTAAATTGAATTGTGATTGATAAGGCGGTACGTATTATGACTATAGATATACACAATTTTTTAAACGCTCTGTTAAAAATACTTATGGTGTTTAAGATGCTTTATGTATAGGCAGCAAATAAATATTATTCTTTTCTTTATTTCATTAAGGAAATTGTTCCATTGAGTTTTATATCAGTAGACATAGCGTAAGATTAAGAGCGTATACAAGTATTAAGTAGAGAAAATAAAACAAACCATTAGTAGGTTTGCATGCTTCCGGTATGAAGTATTTATCATCGGGTGTTATACTAACGAAACCAGCTGCTGACATACATCCTAACCATTCTCTGACATATCTAAGGGAAAAAAGAGAAAACAAATCCGTTTAATAGAATATCTTTTTCTGGTGCTTCTGTTCCAAAAGTGCCACCTACTGTGTAAACATATATCCCAATATATATGTAAGCAAAATGTAACGCCCTTTTCACATTATAGAGGGCCCTCGATGGCTAAGTGGTCTAATTTGTTTAGTTAGCCTGTCCAAATTGAAATTTTCTGTTTGAACAACGCAAGCGGCAGGTCCGTTCGACTCCAATCTTTATTGACTAAAATTGCCAGTTTTCTTGCCAAAGGTCAGTGGTTCTCTCCGGGCACTCCGATCTTCATCTATCAATAAAAAATTGCCTCCACGAAAAAGCAAAACGTGATGAAAGTGGCTTTAAACACCAAATAATCAATCAATCAATCAATTTTTTTACGAATTTTCTTAAATATGAAATAGTGTAAATGATTGAAGTAAGTTTTCTTTGCTATGAACATATATAAAGTCATATTCTATTTTATTGAATAATATAGCAGTTAAATTCGCAAGTTAAATCTATAGCTTTATATAATTTAGATGCAACTTGTTTGAAGACCTATATATAACATATTTAGAGCCAAAAAGAGAGTAAATAATTCAGGAAAATCATTGGACCCATTTTATTTCATTGATAAACCACCTTTAGAAGAGTCACACCTACAGTTTTGTAAATATACAGTTGGTATTAGAAAAACATCATCAAACTTAGGTGCAAAAGCTGATTAGATAGAGTGCATGC